CTCCGCGTCCATATTTCGGGCCACCGAGCTCCCTCCAGGTCCAAAGCAGCTGCGCTGGCGGACAGTGATCCCTGTCTGACACCCACAGCCGCTGCCCCGGGGGGTTTATTCTGCCCTTCCCCAGCCCCAGGCCACCCCTGGGAGGGGGTGACCCTCCCCCTGGGATGAAAATCTGCACTCACAGTTTTGTAGAAGGCTTTGGACTGTGCCCCCAGCACCTCCGATTTGGAGACCAAGTCGTCCAGCGGGGGGTTTATTCTGCCCTTCCCCAGCCCCAGGCCACCCCTGGGAGGGGGTGACCCTCCCCCTGGGATGAAAATCTGCACTCACAGTTTTGTAGAAGGCTTTGGACTGTGCCCCCAGCACCTCCGATTTGGAGACCAAGTCGTCCAGCTTCTCCCCTCGCTCCAGCAGCGACTCCATGGTGTTGTGCTGCCGAAAGAAACAGGCGCTGACCCACGGTGCTGGCACCCTGGGCCCTCCCCGCTCCCTCCCCAGCCCCGGGGCAGAAGACGGAGGTGCCACCACGTCCCCATTCGCACACGAGGGGACGAGCCTCTCCGCCTTTCCCACAGCCGCCCCGGGCCCCGCAGCAAGGGAGGGAGCGATCCCAGCCCCGATAAAGACGGGAAGGTCGCAGTGACCGGGAGGAGAAGAGCCCCCGGGGAAGGCGGCGGCCACACACACGTCGTAAGACGAGCGAGGGCGCGACACGGCACAGGGAAGGGACCCTGGAAGGGCTTGGAGGAGGGAAGCGGAGGGGGGAGGTCGGCGCCCCGGGGCTTGCGTTGGGCCAGCCCAGAGGAGCCCGGAGGGAAGGGAAGGGGAGAGGAAGCTCCCACAGCGCCAGGAACGTCTCCGGGGAACGGAGAAGGCAGGATGGCCCCATCACCTGGAGGGCCACCCTACGCCCGAGCCCCCCAAAAGGGCCATCCCCACGGCCCCGAGCCACGTGCCAGCTGGAGCGCCCCGGCCGCGGGCCCAGCGTCCTCCTCACCAGGATGATTTTGGTCTCGTCCAGCTCCGCCTGCACTCTGGTCATCGGGTCGGCGTCGCGGGGGTTCTCGGAGAGAAACAACACCGCGTCGGCACCACCGCGGCAGGGACGCCGGCGTTCCCCAGGCCACGGCCCCGCAGCACCGGTGTCCCGGCACACGCCGGGGCATCACCCCACGCTTCCACCTCCAGAGCCGGGGGCCGCGGGGAGCGTTTCCCAGCCTCCGTGCGGGCCGTACCTGGTATTTAATGAGGTACCCGTCCAAGGCCGCGTAGCTGATTGTCGCCGGGGATCCCGAAGGCCAGTCTATTTTGCTGACCTGCCTGGAGAATTCATCCAGCACCTGCGGCGCAAGGAAGCGGGCAGTCACTGCCTGGCGGTTCTGCCTGCGGGGCCACGGCGGCCAGAAGGGATTTTTTCTCCTCGAAAAGGGAGATTTTTCTCCTTCTCCTTGCTCCCTTTTGAACGAACCGAGGGAAGAGACAGAAACCAACTGCCTCATCCAACGACCGCCAGAGCGGTGCCCACGCCAGGTGGGGCCGGCCGTCCCCGACTGTCCCCAAAGGCCTGTGCCCTGCCAGGGCGGCCAGACACGTCATCACCGGTTTTCGGCAATGCCGGGAGCGCGGCCGCACCCAGTTTTCCCGTGTCAAACCCAAGCCAGACAGGGAGGACGGGGTGTTTGTGAGGCCAACGCCTGGGCAGGCAGCAGAGCGGAGCTGGGACCAAGTCCTAGCGGGCAAAGCCAAGTCACTGCACGGCCTGGAAGCTTTTGGGCTGGTCGGATCCCGCTCAGCTCAGCTCCGATGTCCCCCAGCTAACGAGCAGAAGGGTCATTTCCTTGTCACCGAGCGAGCACGAGATCTGGAGGGGCTCCCCGGAGCAGCCCCACCGCAGACTGTCGCCTCCGGAGCTGCTCCCGGCCCGCGCGCTCACCTTGTCCAGCAAGGTGAAGCAAACCCGCTGCGGATACTCGTTATCTCCAATCACCACTCCGGCCAGCCCGTCGTTCCGGACGTACACGTGGCAGAGGTACTCTGGGCAGAGAATTCACGTCAGAGAGGCAGCGGGAAGGTCCAGAGCCTCCCCCAGCGCCCGCTGCCTCCCCCCCGGCCCCGGCAGCTCTTCCACGACCCACGAATTGCACTGGAAGGTTTCATTCAGCGACCGCGTTTCACACGATTTCGTTAGGAGGGCGGGAAGGGCTCAAGGGAGGATCAAAATCAGCCCCAAATTGCGCTTCAGCAGGTTACCGCAGCCTGGCCACGTGGTGCGGGACGCGACGCTAACTTTCCAGGGCAGCAGGTACCGCCAGAGTTAAACAAAAGCCAGAGGGGGAAGCGCTCAGCCCGATTTTAATCCATAACAACTTGTCACAAACCCTGGAGTGTCATTAAAGAGGCTGGGGCGGCCAACTCCGGGCCGCGCCCTGCGCATCTCGGGAGGCACGTGGAGGAGGGCGGGGAGGCTGGAGCTGGCGGCACGGAGCCTGGACTCGCACGGCAGAGCCCAGGGGAGAGGGGAAGGAGGCTGCGGCGGCGCAGCCCCCCCTCGGGGGGATCCTGTCCTCCGAGACCAAAGCCGGCAAGCTGAAGGGGCGGCGGGTGCGCAGCCCAACAGCTCCGGGTGTCCCGAGGGCGGCAAGGAGAGTAACGAAGCTCAAAGGCGGCAGAGCTGGCTGTCAGGCAGGTCCCCGTTCTTCCCGTACCCTCTCTCACGGGGCGGGCTGGGCTCTCGCCGGGCTCAGCCGCCTCACGCCTTTAGCGTTACTCGCCTGGGCGCCGTTTTGAGGTCTCTCTTTTTTTCCTTTTAATCATAAACGGACAAGGAACAAAGCACGTGCAGCTTGCGCGTGCTGACCCCGGGTCGTCCTCTTACCTTGCTCCTTGACGGAGGCTCTGCTGCCCAGCTCCGAGCGCTCCACGATCAGCTGGCTCGTGAAGGTCATGAATTCCTGCACGCTGCAAAGACAAAAGCGCTGGCGCTCGAGTCTGCGAGGGGACCCGGGTCTGCGGGAGCCGCGCGTGGCCCAGAGAGCTACGGGGGCGCCGGCGCCGCAATGATGGGGGAGAGATCATCTGTCCCGCAGGTTCCCGGCGTTTTGGGTGGACTGAAACCCTTCCCTACGACCCCACCGCCACATTTGGGTAGCGGGGACGTGGCCGAGCCGTGGGTTTTCCTCAGGGAAGAGGCCGGACCTGCAGCCACCACCCGAACACCTCCAGCTTCGCCGGGCCCAGGGGAGCGCCCACGTCCCCCCGGCCGGGGCGAGGGACTCGCGTCCTTGGGCCGAACTCGCTTTTTGGTGATTTAGCAGAAAGCAAAACACCGTTGAACCACGGATCAGCCCGGCTAAAGCCTGACGAGCGGCCGCGCCCCCGCTCACATGCAGCGAGAGGCTACAGGGGCGCTTCGGCCCCTCCCCTCGCCCGAGCTTTTATCCCGTGCTTGGGGCCCTTACCCAAATCCCACGCAAGGCACCAGCGACCCGGGGAGGCTGTTCGACCCGCAAACACACCTCACCTACCTACCAGTTTGACCAAAGTTGAGCCAGACTCGCTCTAAGTCTGGATAACATCCCCGCGCCCAGACTCGAGCCCTGCCAAACGGGCTCCTCGCATCAACCCTCTCCTTCACCCCACAGTAAAAGAGGCCAACAGCCATGAGCAAGTGCAAAATACATCTGTTCCCAACGCGTGCCGGGATTAACGAACGGGAGGCGACAAATTCCTCGCTTCAGCTGGGAAGTCCCAGGAAGGGAAACCCGTCACAGCTCAGATTACGGAGTTTGCTCAAACACCCCCCCACGCCGACAGCTCCCGCTCGGGACCTTCACGTGACGCGGCGCTGAGGAAACGTCAACGAACGCGGACACCGGCGCGGCAGAGACCGGGGTCTCCCTCGCTGCCTTCCACCGCCAGAAGCAACTCCAGAACGGGGATTTGCCTCTCACGGTTTACGTATTCCTTAGGGGTTTTTGCATTTCTCCCAGCCCGGACACCACGCCATCAGACGCTGGCTCCACCGAGACTCCGAACCGTCGGGTTTCCAGGTGCTGCAGAGAAAAGACCGGCCCAAAGATTTCTTATCATCGAACTTCGGCAGACACGGAGGACCGACACGTTCCTCCTGGACGGCAGCCGCAGCCCCCGCCGTCGCAATTCCAGTATTTCACAGTATTCCCAGAGGAATCGGCCACCGAAGACTTCATTCCCTCACACCGTGTTCCTGAGCCTCCCAAAAGTATTCAGCAGACGTTCGACGGCAGACACCCCGCGCTGGCACGGCCAGGCCGGCCCCGTCCTCCTGCCCAGCAGGTTCTCACAGCTCCCGGGAACCACAACCGCGTTCATCCCAGATTCAAACCCCAAACCCAACTCTCGGGCAACTCCACAGCCTCAAAAAAGCATACATGCAGCATTTTTAACCCAAACTTAAAAGTTAATTGCACCTTAAATATCACGCCTAGGCTGCGCTCTCACAGGCGCCGAGGCGCAAGCAGCCCCTCCGAGCACGGCCGGGGAACCAGCTCAGGACAAGGATCAGCCACCAGAGAAAAGCCGCGAGACTAAGGAGCACAGGCACCCCCTCACCCTCCGTAAAAGGCATCGCTGTTCCCAAAAGCCAAGGCTTTTTTTTTTTTTTTTTTAAACAAAAAAATACCAAGCCTGCAAAAAAAAATAGCCGGCTGCCGGGGAAGCAGCTCTTTCGGCCGTAGCCGACGGCAAAACCAGGCAGGGAATATTCTCAGGATTTGGCAAACCAAGAGCTGTGACTACGAAGCGACCTGGGCTTTTAAGAGATTACTTCACCCGCTGCAATCCGCCTTCAAGCGCGTGCGTTGGCAGCACCGGCACAGCTCCTCTACCCCTCTCGCATATTTGGCCAAGAGAGTATTTTTTTAACACGCTCTTACTTCGGTGTTTTCCCTTCATCACTGGAGTTGCAGAACCAAATGTGCTCAAGGCTCCATGAAATCTTGGCAGGAACAGGGCACGGAAAATTCAAGTCCCGTAGGTGCGTACTTCCTAAAGCCTTTATCGTCTGGAGCGGGGGGACCGGGAAACGAGCTGTTTCGCAACAGACACCTGCTTTATTTTACAACTTTCAGAGGCTTTTGGGAGCTCCCCTCAGCTGCAAGCTCAAGGGCAGCTGCTGAGAGAGCTCCGTCACCTCTCTGCGTGCACGGAGCGGGCAGTGGGACACCCGGGAGGCCAGATCGGCATTCAGGGCTAAACTGGCTCACCCGAAGCCATCAGAAATAACCCAGGCGGAGGTTTGTGGGCAGGCAAAAGTTATAAGATTAGACCAAACACCTAAATATAAAGATACCGGAGGTGTCAGGCGAGCCTTGTTAGCCTGACACAGAGACAAGCCTCCTCCCGCTCGCCTCTCACACCCCAGGAGCCGCCGTGACTACCAGGTTTAGGCACTCGCTGGAGGGAGAAGAGCTGACCCGAGCACTCGGGGTGTTTCCCTGCACCCAGCTTTTATCGCCTGGCTGCGGTGGATGATTTCCCAAGTCAAACCCGACCTCCTGCTGCCGGCCCTGGGCGGCTCTTAGGGGAAACGAGGTTTCGCTCTGTTCCTGAGGCTGAAAGGTCGCTCAGAGCGGGTGTTGCAGCGCTGAACGGCGCGTGCAGGGTCACGGCTCCCCAGGGGAGCGTCTCTGGTGGGTTTATCCCTTAGGAGAAGCCTGTTACCGCTGCCACTGCACCCCCGGTGACACGGGAGCAGAACGGGGAAGAAACCCCCTCCCCAAAAGCTTCTGCTGCCTCTCCCCGTGGTCCTGCCCGAGCCAGG